CACACACACACACACACACACACACACACACACACACACACACACACACACACACACACACACACTTCTGAGATGCCTAAAGAGATAGTTCAGCACTTTTAAAGGGAGGATTTCTGGGGAGAATATGAACAATGAGTATCTTACTTGTTATAGATCAATGATCAATGAACAATCACAATAAATGCAGCTTGGATCTGATCAGATTGTAACAAAGTTCCATAAGTCACACAAAGAAATTCTGCATTAAATTGTTTACATATCTGTCTATAAAACCTCTCAAACCACTATGTCTATAATCAGAATTTGTCCCCTCTTTTTTCTATAAAACTCTTCATCACTCCAACAATTTTTTACATGAACATTTTATCTCATACTGCATGGGGAGTGCTACAGCTAGCTTGCTGCTCTCAATGTCAATGCTCTTGTGGATTAATGTAAAATTAATGGTGATGTAAAAATTTATAAAAACGTGTTTCCCTGAGCTGCTTTGAAATCTGCTCTGGGATTGAAGCTGTTTTACGATGGCAGCTCATCAGTGCCGACAGAATGAAACTATCTACCGCAGGTAAGATGTTAATTGTTCACACCCAATCCAGAGAACCTTCCTTCAAACAATCTGAACTATCTTTTTAATGTTGGGCCAGATTGTTTTAGAACACTATAGCTTCAGTTTCCTTCCAGCTGACGGACGTAATGTTTTGTGGTACTTGTGTGCYATCAGTGAGGCAGTAGGTCAGTCTTCTGGCAGTGCTGAATCCTGGTTTTTCCTCTCTTTGAGGATCACTCAGTAGCTTTAACAAACTAAACACTATCTTCGGTCTATATTTAAATTTACAAGAACAGAGGAAAAATATGTGTCTGATAAATACTGTATAAAGCATACAAACTACATCCTCACATAGTAACTATTCAAGTAAATGAATACAGGTAAAGTTTTTACATCTACTAATATCTGTATTTTAAACAAATTCAACATGATTGGAACGACATTATGTTAAGTCACTGAATGAATGCAGGGGAATAAACAACATACAGTGATCTACAATTTAAACACTGTAGCATTTCTAATAATATTATCACTGTCTAGAACTCTGGGTTGAAATAATGAACTACTCATGGTACAGCCTTTTTTTTAAAGCTCCTTCTGTTCAGAGAAATCGGACTAAATCTAATGATGATAGTCAAAGGCAGCAAACTGTAAACATCGTCTTCCTCTTGTCATTAAGACATCGCCCTCAATTCAGCCAGTGAATACTGAATCTGGACGTGCACCACAGGGAGACAGACCTCCAAGAGTACTAATTAACCCCTGATYACTGGAAAGAAGCCTAATTCCTGGAGAATACAGTGACGTTATTAAAATGAACTGAAGTGGTAGAGGGGGGTGGGGGCGGGGGTGTCTGTGTCCAAGTTCACAAGCTGCCTCCTTTATCGTTCAGATTCATCACAACATAATGTCTCTGCTGTCTGGATTCAGATATTCTCATCGGGTGATTAAAACAATTTTGTTTTTTGTTTTGTTCTCAGAGCAGAATAGTGTGGAATAGTTATTGAGAGCTGTGCAAACAGACATTAAAAAACACAAAAATGGCAAAAAGTCAGTCAATCTTTAGAGACATTAAGGTTAAACTTGGTATGGTCAGTAACTGAGGCTCCTCCCCAACACATCGCGCTAACAGTTTGTGCAAGACCTTTGTTTAAAATTCGGTCATTAACTATTTGGAGTCAACTCTGTCTGTTAGCAAAATATCATATGAACCACAGGACTAAATATAATGAACCCCTGGGGCTGGAGACATACTGTTCTCTGGCTGTCTGTGTGCAGTCAGTCACAGAATGGACTTATACTCACTGGCCACTTTATTAGGTACACCTGTCCAACTGATCATTAACACAAATGTGGATGCAGCCAATCACATGGCAGCGACTCAATGCAGGCATGTAGACATGGCCAAGACGATCTGCTGCAGTTCAAACCGAGCATCAGAATGAGGTAGAAAGATGACTTAAGTGACTTTGAATGTGGCATGGTTGTTGGTACCAGATGGGCTGGTCTGAGTGTTTCAGAATCTGATGATCTACTGGGATTTTCACCCACAACCACCTCTAGGGTTTACAGAGAATGATCCAAAAAAGAGAAAATATCCAGTGAGCTGCAGTTCTGTGGGCACAAATGCCTTGTTGATAACAGAGGTCAGAGGAGAATGGGCAGACTGGTTCGAGCTGATAGAAAGGCAACAGTGACTCAAATAACCACCCGTTACAACCAAGGTCTGCAGAAGAGCATCTCTGAACACAACACGTTGAAACTTGAGGTGGATGGGCTTCAGCAGCAGAAGACCACACCAGTCAGCTAAGAACAGGAAACTGAGGCAACAATTTGCACAGGCTCACCAAAACTGGACAATAAAAAATTAGAAAAACGTTGCCTGGTCTGATGAGTCTTGATTTCTGCTGCAACATTTGGATGGTAGGGTCAGAATTTGGCTTCAACAACGTGAAAGCATGGATCCATCCTGCCTTGTATCAACAGTTCAGGCTGGTGGTGGTGGTGTAATGGTGTGGGGGATATTTTCCTGACACACTTTGGGCCCCTTGGTACCAATTGAGCATCATTTCAACACCACAGCCTACCTGAGTGTTGTTGCTGACCATGTCCATCCCTTTATGACCACAGTGTACCACCTTCTGATGGCTACTTCCAGCAGGATAATGTGCCATGTCATAAAGCAAGAATCATCTCAGACTCGTTTCTTGAGCACAACAATGAGTTCACTGAACTCGAATGGCCTCCACAATCACCAGATCTCAATCCAATAGAGCATCTTTGGGATGTGGTGGAACGGGAGATTCGCATAATGGATGTGCAGCCGACAAATCTGCGGCAACTGTGTGATGCTATCATGTCAATATGGACCAAACTCTCTGAGGAATGTTTCCAGTACCTTGTTGAATCTATGCCACAAAGGATTAAGGCAGTTCTGAAGGTAAAAGGGGTCCAACCCGGTACTAGAAAGGTGTACCTAATGAAGTGGCCGGTGAATGTATGTTAAAAGGTTGACTCATCGTTATATGACCAGAAGTTTTTTTTAGTTTTTGTGGAGTCTCTGTCTTAGAGCAGCCTGGGACAGTCTGGGCTTTGCTTTGTTTTTATATTCAGATAAAAGGCCTACTGACTGCTGCTGTGTGCTGCTGGAGCTGACTGGAGTGAGAGACTGGAATGTTTTTTTATGCTATATTATTCAGACTTCCATTTATTGATCACAAATTCCCTTCATTATGAAACTGCTTTGAACATTGAAAGTATGATGTGAAACTAAATACCTGCTCATAAAAGTCTCCTAATGCTTGCTGACTGGAAATGAAAGCTAAATTATAATAGAATCTATATAAAAACTTTAGAAAATGAGTTCACTGGTTACTTTCACTGATTTGTCCGCTGTTTGAATTCAGTAAACATGAAAAAGTCTGGCTTTAAGAGTAGATCAGGACCACCTGAGTGCACTGATATGGTCACACAGGGTCACACACTGTGTTAGTGAGAAGGTCAAAGGTCATTACCCGAGCCTCTACATAAGGCAGCTCCTGAATTTGGACACAGCTTGCGTTATCTCCTCAACGTTAGCTCAGTCACAGGAGTTACTTCCTGTGAGGGCATCACTGATGTCATCTGGAAGTCTGGACCGTATTGGGCGTCTGGGCATAGAGGTACTTCCAGATGGCGTAGTAATGGACGGCTGCTCCCATTGCAACAAACAAGTGCCAAATGGCGTGAGCGAACGGAACGATGCCGTCACTTTTAAAGAAGACTATGCCGAGGCAGTAGCAGGCTCCACCGACCAACAGCTCGCACAACCCAGACTGCTCCGGCTGCAGAGGAGACATGAGGGTTGTTATGATGAAACTGTTAACGTGGTGCAGAATGATGTAATAATTACACCTCACCATGGAGAAGATGACCAGAGCTGGAAAAACTCCCATCACCGTGTAGCAGATCAACTCCATGAGCTTATATCTGAGGCAGAGAAGATTTTTTTTTCTTTTAGCTCAGGTTTGCACTTTGATGATGAAGTGTGGAATAGTTATTGAGAGCTGTGCAAAAATCTTTAGTCATCCCTCATTTCTTTAAACTTTCAACTTTTCCTGATATTGAGTCTGACCACGACAGCATGCTTCACAGTGTGTCTAAAAAGTGGAAACTGAAGGAGACAAGAAAGAAAATTTTCTTCAACCGTACGATGAATCACATCTAAAGTTACAGATGAGGATTAGAGTCATCATGAGAAAAAAAAAAGCTTTTTTTGTTTTGTTTTTCTCAGAGTTCTGACCTTTTGAAATTTGAGAAAAAAAAGTTAGAGGAAAATGTTGGAATTCATGAAAAAAAACCCTCTCCTGTCATGTCAAGTCACATCAACTGCCAGCTCTAATGACGCTGGTTTAAACTATAAAATCATCTTGCATGACCTGTTAGAGCTTAGAGTACTTGTCGAGGATAATGCTCAGCGACTACCACACCAATTTATAGCTAAATATTGGTAATATTAGCCGAACGTTGAATGGGTGTGGGAACATCTTGAATTGAGGTGACCTAGTTATAGGACAGAATGACTGCATTCTGAATGTTTTATTACTAGTATAGATTCTTAATTATCCAGGACATAGAAAATAATATAAAAAAGATTAAAAAACAAAACAACTGGACTTCTATTCAGTAGTTTAAGATGTTTCACTTCCTATCCTGGAAGCTTTCTCCGTTTAAAACTGGAGTGGAGCTTCAAGCATGTCAGCATTAAAGCTTGAACTCCATACCCTAAAGTTTTGAACCTAGAAAGCCTCCTGGATGATCAAGTCCTCAGAAATCCAAAACAAACACTGCTTAAATCCAGTTTAAAATATTAAAAGAACATCTGGCTCCTTGGAAGCAAAATATACAGTAAGGGAATGAAAGACACAAGATTTTTGCACAGTTCTGGATATGTTTAGGAACAAAGAAGCAGTGATTTTCTTAGAAAGAAAACCCTGACATTATTTTAAGTTCTATTATAGTTGATAGCAATGTGTGGATATTACTTTGCCACACAAGACACATTAATAATTAGGTTCTGGACAGAGAGCCTGTTTGACACCATCGAATGCATCAGTGTGGAGAACAGACCTCTCATGGAAGAAGAAGACGTAGGTGGTTCCAGAAGACGCCATCACCCACACCAGCCAGCGCATGTGACACGCCCACGGGCCCAGCTCCCGAAGGTTCAACCTGTGGAAGCATCAAGAAGAGGACAGCTGCAAAACAGGCCTATATAAACCACATTTAGCAGACTGATATATTTACCAAGGGGCGTAGGAGGCTGCAATGAAGAAGTAGATCACCATCCTGTCACACATGTGGAAACACTGCTCCACAGACCTGAGAAAATGGTTTAGACTCTTATTAAATGTGGGTCATAAAAATCGCCCAAGCACTGAATTAGACATGTGTTCTTTTATTTTTATTTTATTTTATTTTTTTACCGTAGGTGGCTCTTCTTCCAGGTCACAGTGTGGAAGAGGGTGGAGATGATGAAGAGTGAGCTGAGGCCCGCCCCGTATACCCAGGCTGACAGGCGCTCCCATCGGTCCTCTGACTGGTAGTGTAACACTGAGCTGCCCAGCAGGCTGGGGATTATCCACATCTGATGACATTACATCACATGACATGAAGACACGCACAGAACAAAGTGTCACTGTGTGGACGGCGCCATTTAAAACTTCTGTTTGATCTGTAAGCTCAGTTTCTGTGTGTGTGTGTGTGTGTGTACTGACCGCATGCGTGGCGCAGTTGGCAGCATGCTCGTACTCTGTGGGCTGGTATCTCTTGTTAGAAGGAACGCGGTTATTCTTAAACCTGAAAGTGATGAAGCATTGAATAAGTCATCCTGAATTATCTTTTAAGATCTGAGCAAAAATCTGAGGCATTTGTTTTTTATTTATTTATTTATTTATTTATTGAAGACAACACCAAAGCTGTAATCATCCACTAACAGGTCAGGAAATACAAGGAAGAAAAAAAAGGCATTTAAGTCAATGTTAATGATTTTTAGTCTCAAACTAGCACAGCTTGTTCTCGTGTTATTTTATTTAGTTTATGGTGAGTTTGTTCTCATCAGGTTTTTACCCCTCTGAGTTGTGAGGATGCTTGTGTCAACAGCTTGTTTACATGCAAAACAACCTGTTTAATGCTTAAAATATGACGTGTATCACGCAAAAGCAGATCCCAAAGCAAACATCAGTTTATTTTTGTTATTCAAACATGCAGAATTATCAATGTAATTGCAACTGATGTTTTTATACAAAGTTTTCCTTACTGTGAGAAAACATCAGCATTAAGTGGCCTTCACATGAGAAACTATATTAATTATAACAACAAAAACAACAATCGAAATGTAGAAGGATCATATAAACGTAGCACAAAAAGTCAGGAAATTTGTGTTTGGTAGGTTATTTCTTTGTTGTAACATCTTGTGACTTGTACCGTTGGAAAACCTGTTAGAGTCCCTTTCAAATGGTGCCACATTTGTAAGGAACATGCATTTGTGAGGTGAGCATAGAGCCGAGTGTGTGTGTTGTGCACATGAAAGATTGCAGATTTTCTCTGCCAAACTGCTGGTTTTGCTGCTGCTATTGAGTCTTGTTTTGAGCTCAGGTTCCCGCTGTAAGATTTATTGTCAAGAAGCATTGTTGCAACAGAGAGAGAATCTGCAAAACACTTTTCTCTTTAACGTTTCGTGTTGAGCACGGTTATTTATGATTCGCTTAAAGTCTGTTTAAGTTCCTTGTTGAATGATGGATCATTTTAAAAACGCACGTGTCTCCAATTTCTGTTATTACTGTCTTCCTCAGTTTTACTTGGTTCTATAAGTACAATTAGTCATTACTGCATGCGTCCATATAATGAAAAGAACAAATACACACAAAGAGAACAGCTGCTCGGCCATTAGCAGCTGGCTAAAAGACACTGAGAATGGCATGGAATACAACCTGCAACTTTTCTGCCCTGAGACAGCTGCTAATATCATTTCACCCCCCCACCTCATAGCAACGCCGGATCATGCTTCAACTTGTAGCCATGGCTGCTGTTGCCTGGCAACAGTGGGTAACCATGGAGCGACTGAAGCGGAGGGTTGGTCCTGATGATCCGTTTCATCATCTGCATTCCTGCTCCTTCACACGTACAAACACGTGGGCTTGCCTTTTACTCGGACCCACTGCTATGACTCTCTTTTTTTAATGCAACGAACCATCAGAAATAGAACATCTCAGGAGGTAACCTCCATCGGTGATGTCACTGTTGTCATGGAAACCAGGGAGCAGGGATTGTCTCCTTTTATTTCCTTCCCTTGATAGGAGAAAACACCTCGTTCCTTTCATCTCCCTCGCCCGTTCCTTTGCCGTGTCTCTCCTTCGTGCTCCCCTCCGCGATGAAACTAACACACAGAGAGCCAAACGGACAAAGAGAGCACACACACACACACACACACACACACACACACACACA